GATGTGTTGGCTCTTGGGGAGCCTGATACTGGCGGATCTTTGAGTTGGTTCGAGAAGGCGGGTGCAAACGCGTCGTAGATTGGCGCCATCAGATAACGAAGGAGGGTGGCTTTGGACTTTTTTTTGGTGAATTGGGCGAAGTAGACCTCGGCTCACCGTAATACGATCGCGAGGACTCGGCGCTGAGGTTTGATCCGTCATGTCACAGACAAGAAATCACATGACGGAGGAAAGTCCAAGACAACCCTCCTGCAGTATTTGGTGAGGCCAATCTAGGAATCGGTTTGACCTACCTTCTCAAACTGAATGAAATATACTCAGAACCAGAGTTTAATTAATGAATAATTATCATTTGTTTTAGGGGTCGTTAACAGTCAAATAGAATATTTTTTAAGGTATATCAACTTTATGCTTGAAGAAGCTAGATTATCTAAACGAAATCATGTTAATAAGGTAGTTTTCTAAATTGGTTTATTATACTAAGTGCAGAAGACCATGTGAAATGATATGACGAAAAGGTGGATTTCAAAGAATTCCTCGACTTTTGTTTTCAGGGGAAAAGATTGTTGGACAGAATTCGTTGATTTTTCTCATCAGGAACCGAATGAGGATGACTTTGAAGTGAAGACTTGGAATTTGCGAAGAAGTCCTCGGCTCATCGTCATACGATCGCGAGGACTCGGTGCTGAGATTTGATCCATCATATCACGGACATGAAATCACATGACGGAGGAAAGTCCAAGACAACCCTCCTGCAGTATCTGGTGAGGCCAATCTAGGAATCTGTTCGACCCATCTTCTCAAATTGAATGAAATCTACTCAGAACCAAAGTTTAATTAATGAATAATTATCATTTGTTTTAGGGGTCGTTAACAGTCAAGTAGAATATTTTTCAGGTATATCAACTTTATGCTTGAAGAAGCTAGATTATCTAAACAAAATCATGTTAATAAGGCAGTTTTCTTAATGGGTTTATTATACTAAGTGCAGAAGACCATGTGAAATGATATGGAGAATAGGTGGATTTCGAAGAATTTCTCGACTTTTGTTTTCAGGGGAAAAGATTGTTGGACAGTATTCGTTGATTGGTCTCATCAGGAACCGAATGAGGATGACTTTGAAGTGGAGATTTGTGATATGTGAAGAAGTCCTCGGCTCACTGGCCTGCAAAAGACTACACCGTTACACTAAATCAAGACATTTGGTGACCGGCTGAAAGTCTAGTCACTTCTTATGACTGCTTTTGTGATCGTAGATACGAAGAGAAACTGGGTTTCGATGAATCTCCTGAGATGACATTCATTTGGTATAAAAGTGCATGAAGAAGGGGTTCATAGGTCGACTTTATCCGAAGACGTTCAGATCTCAATAAAAATCTAGTGATAGTCACCAAATCTTACTTGATTTGGATGCAGAGCAACATTTTCAACAAATTTGCCACAACGATGATCACACTTGCAAGATATTAAATTGGAGATGCTTAGATTGATCTTCACTTCACTTCAACCCTGTGCCAAATTTATATTCGCGACAATGAAATGTATGGGAAATATGTCGAAATTATTCGTCAAACTGCCCGGGTTTGATTCCCGCTGAGGGTGCTGATGAGGCGCAGCGCGAGACGGAACCTCCAGTCCAGTTGGGATAGAAATATATTTTGGGGACCAAGGCCAAAGTAAAATTTAATGAAAATGTAGCATTTCCTTTTATCATGATTCCCAAAGAGTTGTTCTCGCCCAAGCTAGACTACAATTTTTTCCCTCTCTGCTAACTTTACCCTCCCCTCATCGGGATTTGAGCCGTGGATGTACTGGTTCAGGGAGCAACATAACCAACAATAAGCCTAACTTTCAAGTCAGAGGAAACAGAAACGGAGCCCGAAAGTCATTTTGGACAGACGCCTAATCTGTTTTACAAAGAAAGCAGCCGAAACTGGCACACTTCTGAAATAGTCAGTTTTTCGTATATAAGTAAACTCTTACGAATATTTACTTATTAAAGTCAGATTATTGAAACGTGTCGTTTAAGTGAGGAGAGATTTGGATTTTGACCCGTCGGGTCTGTTAGATAGGTCATACATAAAACTCAGACTTACATACAAGATGGCCGTTCTATGGTTCTAGCCAAGTAATCTAAGTTAAGGTGGGATTTATTTAGACCAAGCTGAAATCGTCAAGCTTTCCTCCATGCACCATTTCCCATATCACGAATAGGCCACTCAACTGAGCTTAAAAAAGTACTTGGGAACTGTACATACCAGAAGCCAATTGAGATTAAGATACAATTGGTCGGAATAGCTGCTGCCACTGGACTCAACTACGTAAGCTGAATTCGAGTTAAGTAGGTTTTCGTGACTCTCGATAGATCTTCAATAAGAACCTCATTCATACCTTGCAGCCTAATGTGATAAAGGGATGAAAGAGAATTTTACCTGTGACTATCCGATATATTCTGGAGTTTCAGGAAGACTTCCGATTTGCCTAAGTCTAGTCTTAGTTCTCATTAAGGAATGTAGTTTTGCAATGTTTTGCTTTATTCTAATAACAACCAAATCCTGACATGTGTTCAAAAGATCGGTCTTACTCTTCAAAGGCAAATTCGGTACAGAAATAGTACAAAAGCTATGTATAATTCTACGGGTAGACTTTCTTGGTTTAGAATATTTTTGCTCTATTTCGTGAAGTATGGCTACCTGCCGACGAAAGCTTATCACAGCTTCATCTGAGTCGCAGGACTGTGAGCGAAGGACTTTTTCGCACAATTCATCAGTCTTCTCTACTCGTCAATCCTTCTTCCGTTTACGGTGAGACCATAACACGAATTTCTTCCAACCAACTAACCCTTCGGAATGTCATAATTCATTAGAAAAGTCTTCGAAACCCAGTTTTTCTTCATTTCCCTGTGGCTGTCTGTCACTCATATCAATATGGTACAGTAGTAAAATGTCCAAATTATACAATCCACTACCACACCCCGGGTTCGACTCGCATTGGGGATCTAGTCATCTCAATGCGAGAAAATTCAACATCCATCCTTTCTCACCTTAAGCGACCAAGATTGGCAAAAGTTCTTTTTCAGGATCTACTGTTAGTCTCAATATACTACTTAAATTCGAAAACATTTTTAAGATAATAGTATATATACTGGCCCTTCCGGCATCTCTTCGGGCATATTATGTATTTGAATACATATTCTTTGCCGAATTATTTTCTCCTGCTTGCCAATACTTGAAACTCGAATCGAATCAGCGTTTGTCCCAAGAGAAACTTCACGAGTCCCCCTCTTGCATGAATCAGTAGTACCAGTTTTGTTCTACTTCTTGTTCCTATGAACTCGGTATGTAGTCAGTGACAGAAGGGAAATCCGACTTTCTTTTGAGTGTCTTGATTAAAAAAATTGCCTATACCCCTGCAGCTCTCAATCAATTTAGAAGCTATTTCTCTGAATAAACCAGCTGTTTAGGCCATTTTCTTGGCTCTTTCATTTTTATCGCAGGAAAAAATGGATCTTCAACATCTCGTCATCTCCCTTAGACGTGAGCTTGAGTCTACTCAAGTCACAAACAGGCTTATTCAGACTCAGGCAGCAGGTCTGGCCGAAGAAGCAGCCGAACTGCGTCAACTCCTTTCCAGCGCCAAAGCCAATGAGCTCGAGGCTTGCGAACAGTTGAAGAAAA